ATCTAGTGTTATTTATTTCTTATCCAGTGTGATTTATTCCTTAAAAGATGCCTCCACGCATACAACCATTTCGAATACACAGCATTCCTTACCTCAATCCTTATTAATGAAAGTTAAAGACAATTTTGTTGTATCAAATAATTGGTTAGGTTAGCTTATATATTGGACTGAGTTTCTCAAGAAGTTTTTGTGCTTACTTGACTAGTGTTATGTTTCTAGTCATCTGCACTGAAAAACTAATTAAGCATGTGCCTTGGTCGATCACCTCAGTTTTAGCAACTACGAAGTTTAAATCCCTTCTAATAGTCGTTCATTTTCGATTATTGTTAATCTTTTTTTAATTAAATATGCATGCATAAATAGCTGTATATATTAAGAGATAAATATCATTGGATGTTACATATACTTAACATGAAAATGGTTAGGTTATATGAAAATGGTTAGGTTAGGTTGGGTTCTGATTTTGAGACAATAGATTAGTTAAAAGAAGAGTATATCGACATAGATCCACTAAATTAATATCAAAGAATAGCGAATATCCAATGGGATTCAGGATTTCCCCGAATTTGAGGCTTTCTCTCTCTCTTAGTAGCTAGAGTTTTTCTCTTGTGCTCTACTTACCACTTTTTGTAGAGGACCAATTTTATTTTATTTTATTTTATAATGTGCTTGGCTTTTGTTTAGTGCAGTTGGCTACATTTAATTATGAACCTACTAGTGACGTGTTTAATCATGACCGACTAGGGATTGTTCAAGGAAAGTTTATTACTATATATTTAATTATGAATTAACTTATAGGACGTATGTTATAATTGAAAAGCTTTCCGTTTTAATGCATAAACTGGAATGCATGTTGTTAGTTGTTTTGGCTAAGTTCTATTGTTTTTAGCTTTTCTTGAAAAACATATAAATCTGTCTGTAATGTAATTCTTTCAATCAAGCTCAAGAAGCTAGGCCAGTCTAGGATGGGTTAATGCTAAGCTGACGACTGTGGGCTCCGACATACTTCATAATGGCTCGATGCAATTAAAGCTCATTGCAGGCAATTCAATCATGATTGAAATTACCTATAGGATCATTAAAAAGCCTAGAAGGGAGGGTGAATAAGCCAATTTAAGATAATAATTAATAAACCAGAATAAATTTTGGTAGCAGGATTGATATGGCTTATCAATCCTGTAACGTGCTGAGCATAAAATAAAAGAACACGCTGAGAATTATTTTACGTGGTAAAACCCATCTTTGGGGAAAATCCACGGGACTCCTTAGTCAAGGATTCAAATATCGGCCGATACACCGATATATCTGCTGATATATCGGTATTTTCAACTGTCGACACTGATACTGGGGGGAAAGGCCATATCTTCCCCTGTATCGACGGTATATCCCCGATAAGTGCGATATTCCCGATATTTTGCCGATATCCCCGATATTTCCCGATACCCATAACTGAACCCAAAAAAAATTCAGAAGTTTTGAAGGCAATTAAAGCAAATTGAAACCCAAAAATAGATAATCCTTGCTCAAAACCCTATAATTTATTAATATGAAGAATCTATGCACAGTCCACTACCCACATATCTCCAATCCATCTAAAGAGGACATGGCGTTCAGTTTTGGATCTATGAGCATAGGAACTAGACCTAGTACTAACTCATATGAATCTTATGATGTCTATGTCTATGTTTATGTCATGTCTAATTATAGTGGAACTAGTTATGAAGCTCAAGATAATAAAAAAAATTATGGACCTACTAGTTGGTTAATCTTAACTATCCCATATATGGGAGGACAATAGGGAGCTCAAGAGAGACCTATGTGCACTATGTTCAAACATGACTTACAAACTGCTCGGGTTACATGACTTGGTATAACTATTATATGAATCTAGATGGTTGTTCCTCATTGTTTGAACCTCATTGAAGCTCTTCATTTATGTAGATGAACGCTTATCTAAATTGTAATACAATGTTTAAACAAACTATGGATTTATGCATGGTTTATTCATTCTAATTAACATTTTATTTTCAAACTTTTCATTAATGCGCATTACATATCACTTATATTTCATCATATGTATATCTTATTATTAGTAAATTTTGAGTTTTATTTGTTCAATACATTCATTGATAATGTACATAACATCTATGAAAGTTTTACATAAAAATTATGTGTTTCAATGCCTATATCTGTCATTTTTGTTGATTTTTTCCCGAAACCTAAAACGATAACAATATATCCCCCGAAATATCCGTAAATTGGAGGCTCGATATTATCTGCACGGCCGATATTTTAATCCTTGTCCTTAGTCCAACACAAATATACTATAGAACGATGATTACAAGAAGTACTCACACACTTATCCTAGACACAGTCTAGATAATGTTTACCGACTTCTTCGTAACTCAACTTCTGTCACGGGATGATCTTCGACACTTCTTATGTTGAACGCAATACTAGTCACATTGCTTCAAGCTCGCCGAAGGATAAACGCCGCAACAGTCTCGGAGTCCAAACCGTATGAGTCACCGACATGCATATGTATGCAATATAAATGATGAATAGATTCGATAAATCACCAAGCAAGAAAGGAGCACTTGATGACTTACCAAAGAAAAAAAAAAGCACAACAGCTTTTTCTAAAAGATTCAACATACTCAAGGATGTAATTACGTTGAAAA